CACACACACACAGAGTAGTGTATACATTTCTCTTCCTTATGATTTTCTTAATAGTATTTTAACTTATGTTGTTTTAAAAATATAGTATATAAATACATATAAAAATATGCATTAATCAACTGTTTCATTATCAGTTAGGCTTCTGGTCAACAGTAGGCTAACAGTTAAATTCTGGGGGAGTCAAAATTATGAATGGATTTCAAATGCATGGAGGGCTGGCACCCCTAATCCCATGTTGCAATGGTATGTGAAAATTAAACAAAATGCACTCTTGTTTCAAAGAAGAAATGGTTCAAAAAATAAATTTAAAAATTTAGAAAAAATCCTGAGACAATGGAACATAATATACCCTAATTTATAGGATGTAGCAAAAGCATAGTAACTGGACAGTTCATAGCTGGAAAAGCTTTTATTAAAGAAGTAGAAAGACCTCAAATCAACAATGTAACTTTACACCTCATGGAGCTAGACAAAGAAGAGTCAACTAAGTTCAATGTTAGCAGAAAGACTAAAATTATACAAAAACTAGAATGGAAATACAATAGGGAACAGGAACACATTAGAAAAAAATCAGTAAAACTAAAGTTGGTTTTCTGAAAAGATCAAAATCGACTAACCTTTAGCTACAATAATTTAAAAAAAGAGAGGAGATTCAAATGAAATCAGAAATGAAAGATGACATTACAACTGATGCCACAGAAATGAAAAGGATTATGAGATAACTATGAGCAATTGCATAGCAACAAACTGGATAACCCTGAAGAAGTGGATCAATTCCCAGAAACATACAGCTTACCAAGAGGGAATTATGAATAAATCAAAAATCTGAACAGATGAATAATAAGAGGATGAATCTGTAATCAAAAACCTCCCAACAAACAAAAGCCAAGTAACAGATGGCTTCAGAGGAGAATTCTACAAAATATTTAAAAAAGAATTAATAACAATCCTTCTCAAGCTCTTCCAGAAAACTGAAGAGGAGGGAATACTCCAAGATCATTCTTTGAGCCCTGATACTAAAGACAGAAAAAGACACTACAAGAAAAATTTCTGCAAGCTCATATACCTGATGAATAAAGATGCAAATCTTCAGTAAAACACTGGCAAACCAAACTTTAGAGCACATTTAATTATGAGAATTATATATCCTGACCAAGTGGGATTTATCCCTGTAATGCAAGGATGGTTCAACATAAAAAATTAATCAATGTTCCAATTTTAGTATATGTGCTGCCGAAGCGAGCACAAAAAATTAATCAATGTGATGCACCACATTAACAGAACAAAGGATAAGGATCACACAGTCAACAGATACAGAAAAAGTATTTAATAAAATTCAACATTATTTTATTATAAAAAGACTCAAACTAGGAATAAAAGGAAATTACTTTACATAATAAAGGCCATATATGATAAGCCTATAGCTTATACCATACTCAATGGTGAAAACCTGAAAACTTTTTCTCTAAGATCAGGCAGAAAACAAGTGTGCCAATTCTTAGTACTCCTATTCAACATAGTACTGGAAGTCCTAGCAGAACAATTAGGCAGAAAAAAGAAATAAAAGGAAATAATCTCTGTAGATGACATGATGATATATACAGAAAACCCTAAAGAGTCCACAAAAAATTAAAACTAATAAATGAATTTAGCAAAATTGCAGGATACAAAATCAACATCAAAAATCAGTGCGCTTCTATATACTTAAAATGAACAATCTGGAAAGCAATTAAGAAAACAATCCCATTCACTTAGCATCAGAAAGAGTAGCATTCTTAGGAATAAAGTTAACCAAGGAGATGAATGACTTATACACTGAAAATTATAAAACATTGTTGAAAGAAATTAAAGAAGACACAAAAAACTGGAAAAACTTCCTGTGTTCATGGATTGGAAGACTTAATATTATTAAAAGTTTATATTACCTAAGTGATTTACAGATTTAATACAATCCTTATCAAACTTCCAATGGTATTTTTTGAATAGAAAAAAATCATCCTTAAATTTATATGGAATCACAAAGGACCCCAAATAGCCAAAGCAATATTGAGAAAGGAAAACCTGGACACATGACACTTCCTGACTTGAAAGCACATTACAAAGACACAGTAATCAAAACAAAGATGGCTTTGGCATATAGACAGACATATATACAAACAGAACAGAGCAGAGAAACCAGAAATACACTTGTGCATCTATGATCAAATGATTGTTGACAAGGTGTCACAACTATACAATGAGGAAAGCATTGTCACTTCAACAAATAGTTTTGGGAACACTGGATACCAACATGGAAAAGAATGAAGTTGGACCATTACACTATACACAAAAATCAACTCAAAATTGATTAAAGACTTACAAATCAGACTTGAAACTATACAAATTGAAGAAGAAAACATAGGGGAAAATCTTCATAACATTAATTTTGGCAATGATTTCTTGGATACAGCACCAAAACCACAGGCAACAAAAGCAAAAAAAGACAAGGGGTGCTATGTCAAATGAAAAGGCTTTTGCACAGCAAAGGAAATGATCAATGAAATGAAAAGGCAGTCTACAGAATAGGAGAAAATATTTACAAAACAATATCTGACACAGGGTTAATATAAAAAATATATATGGAATTCTTTTTTTTTTTAAAAGATTTATTTATTTATTTGATAGATAGAAATCACAAGGAGGCAGAGAGGCAGGCAGAGAAAGAGAAGGAAGCAGGCTCCCCGCTGAGGAGAGAGCCTGATGCGGGGGCCGATCCCAGGACCCTGAGATCATGACCTGAGCCGAAGGCAGAGGCTTTAACCCACTGAGCCACCCAGGTGCCCCAAAAATATATAAGGAATTCTTATGCATCAATAGCAAAAACAAATAAGCTGACTAAAAAACTGGCAAAGGACTTGAAAAGACATTTCTCTAAAGACACAGAAATAAACAAAATATATATAATAAAGATGTTTAACATCACTAGTCATCAAGGAAATGCAAATCAAAGTCATAATGAAATACCACCTCACATTTGTTAGGGTAGCCATTATAAAAAAACAACAACAGCGAATATCAAATGTTGACAAAGATGTGAAGAAACAGAAACCTTTGTGCACTGTTGGTGGGAATGTAAAATTGTGTGTTAGCTATGTACCACGGTATGAAGCTTCCTCAAAAAATTAAAAATGTACATATTATATGATCCCCAAATTCCACTAATGAGTATTTATTGAAAAGAGCTGAAAAGAGGATCATTTTTTTTAATGTGTGTGTTTTTACAGAAGCTTTTATTTAAATTATAGTTAGTTAACACGGTGAAATATTAGTTTCAGGCATACAATTTAGTGATTCAACACTTGCATACCACACCCGGTCCTCATCAAAGGTGCCCTTCTTCATCCCTAATAGCGATTTCCCCCATTCCTCCACCTACCCACACCACCGGGTCACCCTTAGTTTGTCCTCTTTGATGAAGAGTTTGTTTCTCGGTTTGCTTCTCTCTTTTTTCCCCCTATGCTCCTTTGTCTGTAGCATATTGCGTGTTATTCATGATAAAATATGGAACTTTCAATATAAAAATGGATTACTATAGGGAATAGGTAGAGACAAAATCACATTACCTGCTTTACGCTAGATTTTTTTCTCCAAAACTATGAGTGTTTCATAGATTTTCCACCATTTGAATAGTCTGTGCCTTGAATCTAAATATTTTGGCCATCTTGGACTCTAGCATGATTTTTTTTTAACTGACAGGAGTTAATACACAGTGTTATGTTAGATTCAGGTTTACGATGTAATGATTCAACAATCCTATACACTACTAAGTGCTCAGCCCAGTAAGTGTATTCTTAATCCCCTTCACCTGTTTTACTCATCTCCTCACCTGCCTCCCCTTTGGCAACATCGAGTTCGTTCTTTGTATTTAAGTCTGTTTTTTTTTTTTTTTAATTTCTTCAAAACGAAAACCAATTTTATTCCTACCTTAACAATCCACTTGACAGTTTTCACTCTGCTTGAGCAGAAAATGAAATAAAGTGTACTATAAAGGAACAACAACAACAAAAAACCATGTTGGATATCAGAAAATCTGGAATCAAGTCTCCTTCATTATCACTATGAAATTTTGGACATTAGATACTCAGTTTTATCAGATACGACCTTATAAAAGAGATATTCATTCTTACTTTAGAGGGTTCTTGTGATGATCAGATGAGATGAGATAAAATACGTGGCATAATTTGGAAAATGTAATGTGCTTATGCAAATGTTAGCTATTCTTATGTGTTTCTTTAGGATGCTTGTATACACTCAATAAGAGAAAAAAACTACATAGAAAAAATGGAAATAAAATGAGATTTCCAGTTCATTAGGGCCCTACACACTGCCAGCTCTAATGTGCACCAAAATTAGCACTTTGGAGCTCTAATTATACAGATTAACTCTCCATGATGATCAAATGAACCAGGAATTCTTTATCTTAAATGTATTTCTATAAAGTCATACTAAGAAGCATGTAACCAACCACATCATTAAAATTAAAAGAATTCAGCAAATTGCTTGGTCTCTGGAGGGACAAATATCCTCTTCGCTTTCAATTTTCTTCATTCGATATTTCCAGGAAAAATTCCCTGAGAAGAGACTTTTTAATAGCACAGTATAAGCACTACCATATCCTATAAAAATGGAATTTTTAAGCACTATTTTGTAACTTGCTAATTCTTCTCCATTCCTATGCTGTTTTTCTTAATCAAGCACAACATATTATATGCAAAGTGTGAGAGGAAAATCAATTTCTTGATAAATTTAATGCAACTTTTATAGCAACAGGCAGTATTAAATATATTTAATTGTACCTAAAGTATCAGAGATGAATATTCTGGTGTTTTGTTGAGAGCTTTTACAAGGAATCTGTTCAATAAAGAAATATGGTTAGTGTTTAGTAACTTAAAAAGAAATACTTATTTCAGATATTGAGGGCACACTTAGTAATGTTTAGAATTGGATATCTGCATAACTACCTGAGAGACATGGGGTATCTCTGTGTCTTGCTTCTGTATTGGAGCTTTTCCATCTGCAGTCATTTCAATCATGCAAGCAACCTGAGGGCTGCCAACAGGGATTGTGTAGCTAGAAATAAAACAGAAGAGGCCATTATTCTATGTGTTACCGGCAAGAACAGGGTAACTTCGCACATGGATGGTAAGTACTTCTTCAACGACAGAGGTACTTTGTGGATCATAATAGTCCTGAAATATGGCCCCAGCCAAGTGTGAACATTTTAGGATAGATAAAGATATATTTCTTTTCTAACACTGAAATTTTATTTTCCTTCTCTTTTTCTGTCTCTACATCAGGACTGGAAATGCTTTCAGAAAGTTAAACTCCTACAAAACAAAGAGAGCTTTTCTGTATAAGTAGGTAATAATAAATTTTTAGTGCTAACTGTGGTCGACATATGGTCTCACTCATGTAGGGAGACTGCTGGACAAGTAGCAGCAATGTTAAATGATGCTAAACTGCCTACGTAGAAATTTCCCCTCCCTGGCCTACAGGGGAAATAGAAATGGAATAAGAAATGAAAGGCTGCATACCCCTGAGCAGTGAGATTACACTGTGATACAGTTATCAGAACTCAGAAAGCATGCTGCTAATGTACTAGCTGGTACTGTGTCTCAGAGATAAAGAAAAGTATAAGGTTAAGGGAATTTGTAGAATGAATAGTGGAAATGACCAATACACAACTGAAAATTTATCAGTTTATAGAGTGATGCAATCAGATGAAAAGGTATACATGCTAAAGTACTTGGCATAAAATTAAATAGAATTTTAAAAGATAATTCAAATGATATTACCCTGTCACTTGCCATATGTAACAATAGTTACTTGTACGATTATGAAGTCTATTCCACAGAGATATTAGAAGTACATTCACTAATATTCAAAGTGGTTCTTTGCATACTGAAAACATGAATGATTTTAATGCTTTCACTTTTAAAATGCTTTCACTTATTTGTATTTGCTACATTTTAGACAATGAACACCTAATTTTTATTTTTTTAATTTTGACCAACTCCCCCAGTTTGCACATGACTGAGAGCTTTTCCAGGATGCAGGACCTCTCGGGGCTAAAACTAGGTAAGTGCTAAAGCAAACCAGGATCAGTTGGTAAATCTACTTTTAAAAGAAAAAGTCAGTTTTGTTAAAAATCATTGGTTAAATAATTTATCAGTATATTTTTCTTAAAATTAACTTTGGAGTCTAAGTTGAATGGGAAATACAAACCAGAATTTCCTTCTTCACTTCCTTGCTTCAAAACAGACAGCTGTTTTCCTCTTCCCCCTTACCTAGAAATACAAATCTGATATGGTCCTTTTAATACATCATTCTGCTACTTTTTTTTGGCTTCTGCTCTAGTTTACCAAAGGCACTTTGAATTTTGATTAAGAGCACTGTTGAAAATTCTTCAGTTCTAGGAATGACCTCTAGAGCGTCCCATTTATGTGAATTACATACTATAGGGATATAGGAAGCACATTTGTCATTATAGTTGGTATGTGCATATAGATCTGTATGGATGCTTTATACTGGAGATGGAGGAAATACTTCTCAGGGAATGCACATGTCCTTATTAAGAAATAGTAAGATCTCTTTTTGTTTCATTCAGTGCTTGTTAAAAATCTAACCATGAACTGCAGTCTTATAGAAGGAAGCCACTCTACTCTATTTGCTTCCTCTTACCTCCTTCATTTCTTCCCCAGACCCTTCCACCAAATGGTTGATTCTATTGTCAGCTTGGTCTATGCACTATTTTGGAAACTGATACTCTAATTCTACCAGAGATTTTTCTACATGTAGATTATTATCCTTTTCATTTTTATAATCTCATATTTGCTTATAGACCAAATTGTGTGATAAGGAATGAAAAAATGCTCTATAAACAAATTAGACATTATGCTACATAAATTATTTGAGGAGAAATCTAAGTACATATCCCTTATGCCTCTCAAGTATTGCTGAGGCCAGCCAAGTCTAATGATTTAAAGACTTGAGGATCATATTTTGAGATAATCCATTGACTGGCTGAGTGATCTTAGGCAAACCACTTAACCTTTCTTCCCTAAAGTGTGATTATCCACAGAAGGGAGATAATCATTCTTGGCTCATAAATGGTTAGTGAGAATCACATTATTTAATGTACATAAATCATTCAGTGCTAATATTAAAATCCAAAGTTAAAGCAATTATTTGCTGACTGGACAGGGATCTCTAAAGAGATTTTTATGAAAATAAATTACACAGTCAAGTTGAAGTGTTCATCTACTTCTACTAATATTGCTTATAATGGGATTCAAAATCAAATACTTAGGTTGCATTATTTTAAAAACTAAACTCTGACAAAACAGACATTTTTTTCCCCAGTGTCCTTAACATTCTCATTCTTTATATTTATAGTCTTTAGATATGCTAAACAATTTGGCAGAGGCTTCTGACTAGGAAAAGACAATTTATTTTTAAAGTTTTAGAAGATACTGCTCAAACTGGAAGTTCAGGGTATCCATAACCAAGTGAAAGGTTGTAAAAATGTAAACCATGGGGAGTGAATTGTTCAATCAAGTACTTTTATGTAATTGAATACTACCCAGCTCTTAAATAGGAGTTACAGAATATTAATTAATGGTATGGAAAGATATTTGTACAGACTAGAAAAAGAGAAAAGGACAATTTGAGTGATACATCATTTTTATAAAAAACATGCATAGAGATAATAACAGGTTGACTTTCACTAATATTAACAGTGGCTATCTCTGCATGCTGAGAATGCAGATGCCTTTTAATTTTTTTTTTTGCTTATTCGTATTTTCCATATTTTGTACATGGAACAGAAAATAATTTTAAGTTTCACCTTGTAAAAGAAAAATTCAGTTTTATAAAAAACAAATTCCATTTTTCTTTAGAAAAAAAGTAAACATAATTTAATAATATTTCTGGTTTCCTCGATTCCATGTTTTCTTTCCAGGTAGACTACCTTCTTGCTAGGTACGGTGACCCTTGAACAACACAGAGGTTAGAGATACTCCTCTCCCCGCCAGAGGCTGAAACTTGACTAATAGGTTTCTTTGCTAGAAGTCTTACCATTAACATAAACAGTCAATTATACATATTTTATGTTATATGTGTTATATACTATATTCTTGCAATAAACTAAGCTAGAGAAAAGAAAGTGTTATCAAGAAAATCATAAGGAAAGAAAATAATATTTACAGTACTTTACTGTACTTGTCAAAAAATATCTGCAAAGTGGACCCACACATTTGAAACCCATGCTGTTCCAGGGTCATCATCTGCATTGCTTTCTGGCAGCCTCTGAAATTTCTGCTTCTAGACATCTTGTGGAAGCCTATTAAACTGTTACCTAAATTTCTTTTTTTTTTATTTTAATTTTTATTTTTTTAAGAGATTTTATTTATTCATTTGAGATAAGAAGAGACAGCGACAGAGAGAGCACCAGCAGGGGGAGAGGGAGAAGCAGAATTCCCATGGAGCTGGGCTCCATCCCAGGACCTGAAGATCAAGATCTGAGCCAAAGGCAGAGGTTAACTACCCGAGCCACCCAGGCTCTGTTGTCTAAATTTCTTAATCTTGTTTTCACTTTTAAAGATTTTGCTTTTATTTATTTGTCACAGAGACAGAGAGAGAAAGAGAGAGAGACAGAGAGACAGAGAGAGCACAAGCAGGGGGAATGGGAGGTAGAGGAAGAAGCAGGCTCCTCACTAAGCAAGAAGCCCAATGTGGGACTTGAACCCAGAACCCTGAGATCATGACCTGAGCTGAGGGAGAGGCTTAACTGATTGAGCCACCCAGGTGTCCCTTGTTTTCACTTTATTAAAATCCTTTCTTAATTTCTCTATCCTGTATTCTTCCTAGGCACCAATTTTTTCTTCAGCAGTCTCCAGGATCATTTATTCTGTCTATTGAGTTTTAAATTTCAGTGAATACGATCTTTTATTCCTGAGATTTGGAATCTTTTTCATAATTTTTTATTTAATTTGTGCCTATTCTTCTTTTATAATTTCTCCTTTAAAATGGACTATTCCTACACTAATGCTTTCTAGCATCCTAGAAATAAACTTTTTGTCAGACTTTTCTATAAGAAGGTTTTTATCTAGAGTGATTCATATTCCAATTGCTGATTTGCTTGGTTCCTTTCTCAATTTTACTGTGTGTTCTGATATTGTGTAGTGCAGGCTCATTTTCAGTGAGAAGTATTTTTATTTTTCTCTTTTTCCCCACTTCCATTCTCGTTGTTGTGCCTCTTCTGCTGTACCCAAGTCTGATTGCCTAATGGGAACCCCACTGATCTTCCAAGGATCTAAACCCAGATCTTGGATAATGTGTATTTCACAGTTCTGTCCTATAGCGATTTGAAGGTATTCACAGGTTCATTCAGAGCTGAAAATATTGCTTGGTACAATGATGTTTTGGTTGCATTCTGTTTTCTTCCTAGGGTGGCAGTTGGCTAAAAATCAGAATCCCAGGTGATAGTCTCTTTTTCTCTGCATGCAGACAGATGGATAGATAGGTAGATATCACATGTATACTTGAATGAGTAGTTTTAGCTCCTTTATGGGAGCTGAACTTCCCTGTTTTTAGACCTAGACCTTGGCCAGCCTGCAGTATTAGCTCTTGTTGCTTCGCATTTTTGTCTGTTTCTTGTCTGGCGGGATGTTTATTTTGCTTTTAATTGTGCCTTTATATTTTCAGTTGTGTATTTTTAAATTTTCTATCTTATTGCTATGTGTTTGACACTAAGGAAGAGAGTCCAAGTGTGAAGTTAGATTCATCTTGACTAGAAATCTATTTTTTTTACAATAAGAAAAGACAACAATAAAGATCAATTTGAGTCCCTTATTTTTGAAGGCCATGTAAATAGAAAGTTATCTTTAATCTGCGAAGGGCAAAATGAAGAAAAATAAGCCATTTGCAGGTTCCTTTATAATTTTGCTTTAAATTTGGAGGTACTAATTTCTTTGGCTTTGTTCGTATCAGGTTGTGTGTGTGTGTGTGTGTGTGTGTGTGTGTGTGCGCGCGCGCGCGCGCGCTAAAGGCATTTCAATGTATCTGTTTCA